CCCAGCGCACAGTGTGTAGATGCAGCAAGATGCATCGATCCTCTCCCTCATTGTCTCCTCATTATTTGAGGAGGTTATGCACCTAGCAGTCGGCAGGTCGACGGCTCGCGAAGTATGGACGACGATCGAAACAGCCCTCGGGTCTTCTACGCGTGTGAGGTGTCTCAACCTCTTAGGCCAATTTCAGGTGCTAAGGCAAGGCGACAGTACCCCATTGGAGTACCTCGGGAGAGCCCAGCTTCTGGTCGAAGAATTGGCTCTGGCCGGTCGTCCCATGTCTTTGGAAGAACAGAATTTGTATGTCTTCCGGGGACTGCGGCCGGAGTTCCGTGCTATCGCTGCCACTCTCGCCATCTCGGGTAAGCCAGTGTCAATTCCTCTCCTGTCCGACTACCTGCAAGCCCAGCAATTTATCCAGTCCGATGACTTCCCGGATGGTGCTGGGGCTCCGCCGAGTGGCTTTCCAACGGCGATGTACGCCGGTCGTGGCCGGCAGCAGTCAGGTGGTGGCGGCGGTGGCGATGGTCGCCATAATCGCGGCGGACAGGGGCGCAACAACCACAGAGGTCGCGGCGGACAAGGCCGGGGACGAGGTGGTGCGCCGAGATGTCAAATATGCCGCACACAAGGTCATACAGCGGCGTACTGCTACTGCCGGTACTCAGAACCGCCGCCCGTCGCCGCCCAGGCCAATGTTGCTGTCTCCGGAGAAGGACGCCCGCCGGCCGACGTGACTGCCTGGTTCCCTGACACAGGCGCGTCAGCGCACGCCACGCCGGACTCCGGGGCGATGGCTCAGATCGAGGAATATGGCGGCAATGATGTTCTCCGTGTGGGTAATGGCGCAGGTTTGGGAATTTCTGGTATTGGTCATGCATTAATTCCGTCGGTCTCTAAAACGTTGCGTTTGTCAAACATACTACATGTTCCCCAGTTATCTGTGTCATTATTATCAGTTAATCGTTTTGCAAATGATAATAATTGTTATTTTGAGTTTCACCCATCGTTCTTTGTTGTGAAGGATTGCAAAACTCAGGTGGTACTCCTTAAAGGATCTAGCTCAAGGGGGCTGTACACTCTGTCTGTTCCGAGGTCATATTCCGCGTTTTTCACATCCTGTGCGTCTCCTATAATTTGGCATCAACGGTTGGGTCACCCACACGGTCAGGCTCAGCAACGTGTCCTAAAAGACTGTCCGGTCGTACCAAATAAAGCAAATAGTACGAGTTTGTGCTCTTCATGTCAACATGGAAAAGCTTCTCGCTTTCCTCTAGATAGGGTTGCTAACTCTAGTAATAATATATTAGATCTCGTGTATACAGACATTTGGGGGCCCACACCCGTTGTTTCTTCGGAAGGCTATCGTTATTTTGTACTTTTCGTGGACGATAGTAACTGGCTTTGTTGGTATTATCCTCTGCGCTTAAAAACCGATATCTATAAAGTATTTGATATTTGGCGGGCTATGGTAGAACGTACCTTTTCACGTTCTATCAAGTCCATCCAGTCAGATTTGGGGGGGGGGGGGGGGGGGGGGGAGTATCGTCGGTTACACAACACGTTTGTCAGTCTCGGGATTTTTCATAGGCAGTCATGTGCCTACACACATGAGCAAAACGGCCGGGTAGAGCACCGAAATCGGCATATTGTCGAAACTGGGCTATCCCTAATGGCCGGAGCCTCTGTCCCACTCAGGTATTGGGACTATGCTTTTGAGACGGCAACCTACCTCATTAATCGGTTGCCCTCGTCTGCACTAAAGTTTGATACACCATTCTTCCGTCTATACCACTCAAAACCAAATTACACGTTTCTGCGCGTCTTCGGGTGTCTGTGCTTTCCCTATCTGCGGCCGTATAATCGCCATAAGATAGAGTATCGCTCAGCTCCGTGCGTGTTCTTAGGTTATCCTCCGTCATTTAGGGGTTACCGATGCATGAACCTTAATACTGGAAAAACCTATACTTGCCGTCATGTCCGCTTTGATGAATCTATTTTCCCTTTGCAGCTTCTTCAGCTTTACAGGGGATGACTCAAAGTACTGAGGTAAATCAACCGTGGGGCTCAAGTCCCGTGTTAACCGGGTCTAGCCAGCTTGAACCACCCCCAGCCCCGGAACTCCCACCAGCCCCGGAACCACCTGCTGATCCAGTTGCACCAGTTCGTGCACCTCGTGGGCGAAGGGCTCGTGTGAGACCACAACAGAGGGTCCATGTTATGCGCCTGCGACGTATGACACAAAGCACTGGTGAGCAGTTACAAGCGCTCACAGCGTCTGAATGGCCAGCTGATCCTACCTGCTACACACAAGCGGTTGGACACCCTCAATGGCGGGATGCCATTGACCAAGAGTTCAACGCTCTGCTTCACAACAACACTTGACAACTTGTGCCTGCCACCCCTCACATGAATGTGGTTGGGTGCAAGTGGGTGTTCCGGACGAAACGTAAAGCTGATGGTTCTATAGAACGCTACAAGGCTAGCCTTGTGGCCAAAGGCTTTAATCGAGTGGCTGGTGAGGACTTCTTTGAGACGTTCAGCCTAGTCGTTAAGCCTACTACGGTGCGTATACTGTTGGCATATGCCGTCTCCCGCGGCTGGACTCTACTCCAGTTGGATGTCCACAACGCTTTTCTAAATGGCCGCTTAGCTGAAACAGTTTATATGCGGCAACCACCGGGGTATGAGGACCCGGATAATCCTGACCATGTTTGTCACCTACAGCGGTCTCTCTATGGCCTGAAGCAGGCACCACGAGCATGGTTTCCGTTTGCATGAGTTTTTGTTACAGACAGGGTTCGTGGAATCCAAGACGGATGTCTCTCTTTTCCACTACACGACTGGCACATCCCGTGTATTCTTGCTAGTCTATGTGGATGACATCATTATGATGGACAATGATTCTGTCCTAGTTGACTCTCTACTCCAGCGCCTTTCCACCACCTTCAAGATCAGGGATTTAGGTGTTCCTACCTTTTTCCTTGGTATTGAAACGCTGTCTACACCGGAAGGAATGCTCTTGTCTCAGCGTCGCTACATGCAGGATATCCTCAATCGTGCAGGAATGACTGACTGTAAACCGCTTGCTACTCCGGCGTCTGTCACACAAGCTGTTAGCCAGTGTACCGATCCCTTTGATAATCCGACACAATACCGGCGTCTAGCTGGGGCATTGCAGTATTTAACGATCACCCGTCTGGATCTCTCCTACTCCGTCAACCGTTTGTGTCAGTTTATGCATGCTCCTACAGATGAGCATTGGGGCCTACTCAAGCGTGTTCTCAGGTACATTCGAGGCACAATGGACTACGGTTTGCGTCTCTCACCTTCTTCGTCTACAGACATACATGCCTTTTCAGATTCGGACTGGGCCGGCTGTCCAGTTGATCGGAAGTCCACAAGCGGGTACGCTGTGTTTTTAGGATTGAACTTGGTCTCATGGGTCTCTCGAAAGCAACGCACTGTAGCCCACTCTTCGACAGAGGCTGAGTATAAGGGCCTGGCCGATGTCTGCGCTGAGGTCACCTGGGTCGTGTCTTTACTCCGTGAGCTTGGCTTACACTCCAGCGCACCGGCCAATCTATGGTGCGATAACTTGGGGGCCACCTATCTCTGTGCGAATCCTGTGTTTCACGCCCGTACGAAGCATGTTGAGGTGGATTATCACTTCGTCCGTGATAAAGTCACCTCCGGGGAATACAATTCGTTTGTCTCTACGAAGGACCAGGTGGCCGACATCTTCACCAAACCACTACCTGCTGCACGGTTTGCTACCCTCCGGGACAAGCTCAATGTTACAGCTATTCACCCTTGAGCTTGCGGGGGAGTATTAGTATAAGCTTGTATTTTATATTTAGAGTTAATACCATCTGAGGTCCTCCAAGTATAGTGGATTTGCCACGTTTAGTCCTAAACTTTCAAAGTGACCATTTGTGGTCCTTCGACTTTCAAATTTAACCATTCGTGGTCTAAGTTAACCACCCATGGTCCTTCAACTATTAAATTTTAACCAACCATGGTCCTTTCAAGAGGACCACGGCTGGTTAAATTTCGAAACTTGAAGGACCATATGTGGTTAACTTGGACCACGAATGGTTAAATTTGAAAGTCGAAGGACCACAGATGGTCAATTTGAAAGTTTAAGACTAAACGTGGCAAAACCACTATAATCAGAGGACCTCAGATGGTATTAACTCTTTATATTTATTATGTGGTTTAGGTTTGTTGTACTATTCTATAGCCTATAGTTTAGGAACCTATTCTTATGGTATCTCTGTAACATGTTTCAGTTCTAAATCGAATCATTATTTCCAACTCATCGATATCTTTTCCTCGTATTAGCATAACTCCATGGCATTTTTTTTGTGTACCTAGGATTTCCACCGTCGAACACAGTGACTAATCCCTCGCTGAATTGTAGGCACCTCTTTTGGGTGGGACAGCTGCTCTGGAGATTTAAGGCTGCTCCATACCCAAAGCTAAGGACATTTTGATGGTTAATAAATCACCATATTTACATTAAAAAAAATATCCTCAATTTGGATAAAGATGAAGTACCACAACTAAGATATGATGTACTATAATTAATATCTAAATTAATTTATTAATACAAAGAATATTGATTATTTACTTAAACATATAAAATAGAGAAAGCTTACCTGTGAATTTCGCAACCTGGAATTGGAAGAATTTGAGATTTCAGAGCTTGGGGAAAAAAGAAGACGTTCGATTGTAGGTATAAGAAGAAAAGAAGAACAAATTGCACTTTTGGTCCTGTGAGTATTAGGGTACTGATAATTTGAGTACGTGACTTTCAAAACATCCAATTTAAACCTTTAACTATGCAATTATTGGCAGATTTGGTCCTCTGGGTCAAATTGCCGACCAATTTTGACCGGAAAAAGATTTAATGTTTCGAATTAATTTCTGATGAGGGTAAAATATCATTGCCAGTGTATTTATAAGAATGAGCAGAAATACTCTATACACAAACATATACTTAGATTAATTAGAAGTTAAAATTAGTAGTGAAATTAAATGGCTATTAAGAGCTATCCACGCAGTGCTCCTAGCGATGGGAAACTAGACATGACGTTGGAAGTGTTCAAGAAATTTGTGAGGACTTATGATGCAGATAGGGACGGCAGAATAAACAGGGAAGAGCTCCAGGAAGCGATCCACGCCATCGGAGGGAGGCTGTGCTGGTTCAAAGGCCGCCAGGGGATGAAGGCCGCCGACGGCAACGACAACGGCAACGGCTTCATCGACGATAACGAGATGGACAAGCTCGTCGACTTTGCTCAGAAGAACTTGAACATCCGGATCGTCACCTACTATTAACTCCCGCCGCCGGCCGCTTTCATTATATATATTTGCGCGCTTTATTTATATATGCAAATTGAATAAATAATTCAACGCTTTCGCAAACACCGCCGCCGGAATTTGGATCAACCTCGTACTTGCATTGCTTTGATCTGCCTGATCAGAAATGACATTTTTACCCTCATCAAAAATTAATTCGAAACATTTAAATCTTTTTCCGGTCAAAATTAGCCGGCAATTTGGCCCGGAGGATCAAATTTGCCAATAATTGCATAGTTAAAGGTTTAAATTGGGAGTTTTGAAAATCACGTACTCAAATTATCAGTACCCTAATACTCACAGGATCAAAAGTGTAATTTGTTCAGAAAAGAATAACTATTGTGCAATAGGTTTCAACATAAGTAGGGGATTATAATTTGAAATTTCTGTTTTACTCCCTATTATTAAATTATTTTTAATTTTTCATTAGTTACAACGAAATATTAATGCTAGGGACCAAATTTACTATTTTGTTCATAACTGAGGAACTAAACTCGGATACCATCATAACTTGATTATAACTCTGACTAAAGATGCAATCTATATATCTATATATATATATCTATATATCTATATATATCTATATATATATATATATATATATATATATATATATATATATATATATATATATATATATATATAAAAGTAAAATCCTCCTAACAAATTTCTCCCCAAAACTTTTGTAGTAAAACTTATTTGGTAAGTAAATGTTAAATGGAAATTAAATAAATAAATAAATAATAATAATAATAATTATTATAATGTTATTACCTTAAATAAATAACTGATTATACTTTCCCTTAAATAAATAAATTATTATACTTTCCTTTTGAATTAGTATTTTCTACCTATACAGGGTTGTAAAAATCCCGCCTAGGCACCGAGTAATCGGCGCCTAGGCGCTAGGCGCCCATAGGCCGTGGCTATTTCCCCCCTAGGCTCCCGCCTAGGAGACCGGCCGCCTAGGCGCCCGCCTAGCGCCTAATTCAGCCGCCTAGCGCCTAACTCGTCCGATTACGCCGAGTTAACTCGTCAATTTCTGTTGAGTTAGTCGAGTTAACCCGATCGACTCAATCTTGCTAATTTTTTCATTTATATGACATATATATATAATATGACATATATACACTCGTAGACTAGTTTGATACTTTCAATCTTTGGATGATTGAAGTATTTGGGTATTTCATTTGAGTTTTTTTTTTTGTTTTTTTTTTTTAATATTCTTTTGATGTTATGACTTATGAATTGTCATTATGTCATTTATTTGGATGTGTTATTTGATTGAATGTTGAAAATAGCCTCATTAAAATTGTCAAATTGCAAGTCTGCTACTGTTTTTTTGGCGACCGCCTAGCGCCGTCTAGATTCCGCCTAGGCGCCGACTAGGCCGCTTAGGCACTAGGCGCTGCCCGGGCGCCCGACTAGCGCCCAGCGCCTACTGCAACCATGCCTATAAATACAAGAGCTTCTTCAATCAAAGAATCTCAGACTCATCTTTCAGCTTTCTTTTTGTATGAATTTTCTACATTTTTCTAACTATATTCTCACGTACTTCAATATGTTTTGCAGTTTGGACATCATGAATAGCTTCATCAACGATATCTTCTTGAAGCTCGCCCAAGAGGTGACTCGCTTGGCCCACTACAACAAGAAGCCGATAATCACTTCCCGCGAGATCCAGGCCGGCATGAGATTGGTTCTTCCTGGCGAATTGGTAAAGCACGTTGTCTCTCTAAAAACACTAAAGCAGTCACCATATTTACAAGCTCTTAGATGAAATCATTAAAATCTATGTTTTGTTTTTATATAATCACAATTAGGAATTAATAGATGTAAAGTAACTTGGATTTGAGTTTAATTTCATATTATTCTTCCAAAAAGTTTAATTTCATATTATAAGTATTGTTATCTACCTTCAACTATCGGTGAATCAATTAGCATTCTCAAAAAAAAAAAAAATAAATAAATTGAATGTTTATATCTACGTGCATTTAAGATGCAACATGTGTATGATTCATTAGGCTTTGAGGCAGGAGAACACATCTGGGTACATTGGTGGATCTGTATCTCATTGCAAAAAAATATCCATACAATTAATTAATTAATATAATTACAATTATCATTATTCTAATTCAAAAAAAAAACTAAAGAATTAATTGTAATAATGAAATTTGTTATTAATATTCTGTTACTAATTGACACAGAAATCAGACTAAAAGAAAAACGAAATTAATATTAAAAATGGACTCGAATTAAAAAAATGTGCTTAATAAGTAAATAACTAATTTGCTAGACAGAAAATTAGGGTAAAGGAAAAAGAAAATGATTATTAAACATTGTACCAGATTGTTTTTATGATTGAAAATGAATATTACAAACGTACCAGATTGTTTTTATGACCAGAAATAAGAATGAATTTTACACACGAGAATCTATTATTAATATTATGTTATACTAATAGGCATGGGAATCATACCAAATGAAAAAATGATTTAATATTAAAAATTTATTGGAAATATAACATAGTTTTCCCTACGAAAAAATTAGTAACCACCAAATGAAATATTAGGAAAAAATTATGAAGAAAAAAGAAATGGAAACAAATATTAACTCTTTCTATGAATGAAAAAAGGAAATGAATATATCCATATTTCACTTAAAATATAGTCAGTAATTATATTATATATATATTATAATTATATTAATTATTTATGAAGAAAAAAGGAAATGAATATGAAAGGAAAAAAATAAAATTTAGACACAAAAATCTATTATTAATATTCTACTAGTATTTGCACCCGTGCGATGCACGGAATTAATATGTTGTAATATATTAAGAATATATGAATCGATATATAATTATTTAAATTAGAACATCAAATATTATATAGTGCACTTAAAGATATGATTTGAATCGTTTATATATTTTGATGTTATCATTGCTTGAATTTGTGCAAATAATTGCTCAAATTAATAGCTAATGTCTAGATGTACGGATGCGGTCCTATAATTTTGAAGATTATATTTATCATTGTTTAGTATTTTCATACATTAGGTAAATGTGTTCGTTCTCTAACAACTCAGTTATAGAAATGAATTGCTATCCATATTCATTTGTATGGAAGATATATTTTTTTGCCTAGATATATAGCAATTTTTCATTTAAAAAAAAATAATATCACCGATTATATTTACACATTATTGAAACCTCTTTGTAAACGACATTGGTAGTGACAACACAATCTTGTTCATCTTCGTCTAGAGCTAACATCTTCTCCATCAGGACGGGTTACTTGGGTGAAAATATATAATGGTAGAATATCACTCAATTAGTTATCATTTTATATTTTCAGTCAATTCGTAATATCAGATTCATTTTCAGCCAATTATTCTTTTTTATTTTCAATCAATTAGAATATCAAATGCAGTGCTATTTTTACCTAACTTCCGTTCCATTTTTAATTGATGATGTATATATTATTATTGAAATATTTTCGTTCAATTTTTAATTTACCTTTACTATTGTTTAAAATATGCATTTACTATTGATAATGTAGAATAATATTATTGGAATATTTTCCTCTAATTTTTAATTTTTGTTCCATTTTTAATTAAAATGCAATGATTTTACCATTTTTTAGTTAATTATAGATCATTTTTTATTTGCAGTCAATTATTAATATTCATTTCCTTTTATATTTTCAGTCAATTAGTAATATTAGATTCATTTTCAGTTAATTATTCTTTTTTATTTTCAATCAATCAGTCAATTAGAATATAGATGCAGTGATATTTTTACCTAATTTTTGTTCCATTTTAATTTGATGATGTAAAATATTATTAATGAAATATTTTCGTTCCATTTTTTCTTTACTATTTTTAAAATATGTCTTTACTATTTGATGATGTAAAATATTATTATTAAAATATTTCCTTTTCATTTTTAATTTTCCTTTACTTCAAACCAAAAAAAAAAAAAAAGAAAAAAAAAAAGACTTTGGACTTCTCAATACTTGCCCACATTGATTTTTTTTTTTTTTTTGATAAACCCTGGGTTTCCACCGTTGGACACAGTGACTAATCCCCTCGCTAAATTGTAAGCACCTCTTTTGGGTGGGACAGCTGGCTTAGAGATTTAAGGCTGCTCCATTCCCAAATCCAAGGATCGAACTCTTGACCTTTGGTTAAGGATGGATGAGTCCCTTACACTCAACCACACCCTTCAGGTTACTTGCCTACATTGATGGGCAAGCAATTATGTTTGTAAGAGGAGCATTGCTCCTCTTTCCAAACATTTTCAATGTGAGATCAAAATGATCCCACATCATTTACAAAGGGAGCCCATGACTCCCATTTGTCTTCTCCTTATTTTTTTTTAAATTTTAATTTTATTTTGTATATCGTTTTTGTTTGGATTATTATTATTATTATTATTATTATTATTATTATTATTATTATTATTATTATTATTATTATTATTATTATTGACAAATTCGTCATTTTAACAATTTATCTTTACTCAAAACACCAAAAATATTATTTAATAACTAAGTAATTTGCTCCAAACTGCTAAAATCTAAAACAACACATATATTTTGAGTTAATATTTCCTAACCCCCAATAATAAATACCAAATAATAAATAAATAAAACTAAAATAAGAAGACAAAGCTAAGGTTTCTTAAATAAGAACCTTTTGACTTCTTAATACTCGCCACATCGATGGGCAAACAATTATGTTTGTACCTCTTATATAGAAGAGCTCAGGAGTTCATCTTTTCAAACATTTTCAATTTGGGATGAAAATGAACCCACATCATTTACAAAGGGAGCATGTGGCTCCCCTTTGCCTTTTTTTTTTTTTTTTTTTTTTTTTTTTTTTTTTTTACTTAGCAATTTGCTCCAAACTGCTAAAAACTAAAACAACACATACATTTTTGGGTTAGTCTATCCAAACCCCCACTAATAATAAATAAATAAATAAATAAATAAAAACAAAATAAGAAGACAACGCTAAAGCTTCTTAAATAAGAACCTTTTGACTTCTCAATACTTGCCCACATTGATGTGCAAGTAATTATGTTTGTA